TGTGGCTAAACTGGGTTGAACTGCAGGCAGTGTTTACACCAAGCAAATAAGAGCATAAAAAATGTTAAATTTAAAAGGCAAAATGACTGTACTTGGTAGACACAATTTTTTCTAGTGTAGCTAACACCCATTTGTACTTGGAAAAATATTGCACATACTAATTCTAGGTTTTTTCAATTGTATACAGCAAAAACTCAAGGAAATTCAACTTTATCTTTTTGATAATTTATGGTACTATAACTTAATATATAATACAGTAAATAATTTTTTCTATTTTTCTAATTCTCTCTACTTCCAGCCTTCATTATGCTGTCTCCACCGAGGTGCAGGATTTATAATTGTAGTGAAAAATGAACCCTCAGTGAGTTAAAATGTGACACGAGTTAAGAAAAAAAAACTTCAGACGGTTAAAGCATCAGTGTTGATATATATCTGAATGAGCCAACAAGATCGTTGGGATGAATCTCAGGAAGGAGCTAAATTACTTTAATCTATTTACCATGACAATAGTGATAAATGTAACCTTTTTTTTCCACATCTGTGCTTGACATGTGAGTGTAGTTATGTGCTGTTAAAGAGTCTAGAAAGGACTGTGGACTGTTTAATATTTTCATTTTACCCGCCATATATGGGGTATATATAGAGTTTATTTATTGAAAATGAACAAAAGTAGATGGTGGATTTTCACAAGTCGACTATGGAGTCAGTGCTTCCACACATCCACTCACCTTCTCTCCCGGAGTGACAGAAATCCTCCAGACACAGTGAGCGTACGCCGAGTATCCGTTGGGGAAACCGGGTGAAGACAAGTTTCCGGCGCTGTCCTGAAGGCTGTCCCCGCACCCTGTCACAAGCACAACATAACATCAGCAGAGATGGACGACAACAGAGCAGAGGAACAGCATCTTAGTCCCAGAGTGAAGAACAGAAGCAGCTTTAAACTTTATGTGAAGACACTTTGTCAAGTTTTAAGTTAGAAAACATTCAGTTGGTCTTGAGAAAGATTTAAGTCTAAAACCAAGGCGTGCACTGATCATTATGTCTTCTACACATCGAATGCATCTTACTTGCACATTTGTAGAGCTTGCGGGCTTGTGCAATGTCCCCTTTGCTGAGCCTGGTCCTCTGTCCAATAGACGGTCTGACGCCATTGACATCATAGCGGGGCAGGATGGTGTCTAAGAAGACGCCTCTGGTTCCGACAAACCACAAACGTCAGCAATATATTCATCAAAGAATCTAACAATTAGCACAAGAAGCCTGATGTGATCTTTCACCTCCTAACCACGCTGATGTACGGTGAAACCAGACTTCTAACAGACAGACTGATTAGGACTTTTCAGATCCGCCTCCCGTTCCAACACCTTGATACTTTATTGATTCTGATAATCTCTAGCCGGGGTTTTGGAAGCTCCCACTCTCGCACAGTTCCCATGGTGATGCGCCCATGAATGACAGGCATGTGCAAACAGAGCCGCTCTGAATGGGGGCCTTTGGCTGGTGCCAGCCGGCTCAGTGGAGCCCGCTCCTGAATGCCAGAGAAAAAGGCCACTCCAGCCCAAATTGTTCAACAAAGCCTGAACTGCCAGGCCTTTATTTAGCTTGGCTTGCCTCCATGACCCGGAGCTGCATAGTGGTTATGGAAGTAAAAAAAAACAAAACAACAACAACAAAACAAAAACAAAGCATAGAGAAAAGCAATGAGGCAACAACATGCACGAGACAGAAAGGAAAAAAAAAAAAAGAGAGAGAGAGAGCAGTGTGAAACCATTTCTGTGACAATAAAGGACCAAATCCTCTGAGGGTTTCCATAAATCATGTTCGGCACAGAGGCACCGGGTCAGTGTGGGAGCTCAGCTGGTGAAGCAGAACCATATTAGATTTTTTTTTCCCATTGATGCAACTGAACGTTCACATTAAACACTGTAGATCAAACTTGGCTTCAAACTCTAAATGTAAGGAAGTTTAATGACTGATTAAAGATGTCAGAAGCGATGCATTCATAATGATGACATGGAGAGAGGCAGGCTAATATAAATATACAGAGTGAATAATCATTTTAACCAACATCTAACCAATAACTGCCCCAGTGGAGCTCTTTAATTGCCCGTTAATGTCTACTGAAAACAAAACCCACATCTGGGAAACAAAAAATCCTTGCAGTCTGATTAACATAACTTTAGGTGATTAAAAAAAAGAGTGAAGCAGAAAAAAAAAGCATCACTTGCCAACCTGGAAAATGTATTTCTTGCGTAATGCATGATGCTTCCAAAGTCATACACCTCCCCCAGCGAGTCGACCTCGCCTGGCTCCATCTTCAGGAAGTTATACTCCTGTCCTTTTGATATACACACAGTCAGTGGATTAAATGCATTGAAGAAATAAAACATCTGGAGCATCACTTAAGCTCCACATTCACACTGATTCGTGTCACCTTTTGCAGAGCGCGCATGCAGGAACAGTACCTGGTTGGATGTTGTCTCTGATGATGCTTACATGCTCGTCACGGTCCGGACGAGTGTGTTCGTGCCAGAAGCCGATGACGTGGCCGAGCTCGTGCACCACGATGCCGAACTTATCGCAGTTCTTTCCGATGGAGATGGCCTGAGGGCCGCCGCCTCTCCTCCCCACGTAGGAGCAGCACCTGCAGGGCAGAGTCAGCGTTCAGCTCCTGGATTAAGAGGGTGTGAAGAACTACTACCAACAAAACCCTATGAAAGGCAAATCGTTAACGTTTCGGGTGTTTTAAGTGAAAATTGTTGCTGATGTTAATCCATTTACAATCTCACTGATGTCATTAAAGACTAACAGCTCCAGTCTAACAGCTATGATTGCACTCTTATGGTAAATATTCAAGACAGGAACATCAAGTCAAAAGGTAAGATGAGCTAACAAATAATACTGACGTAACTCTGGGAAAAACAAATTAAGCAGCAAATTAAAAAAAAAAAAAAGTTGTGTGAGTGACGACTCTGAGGTTGATTCAACATTCATGACATTTACCATCATCTCTGATAAAACATGACTTCATAAAATCCAATTAGCACTCAGACTTGACTTTCTGTTGTGCTAATTGGATTTTAATATAAACACTACAATAAAAACTAATTGAAGTAATTACATACAGTTTGCTAGAGGTTTCCGTCAGCACCAGATGAGACACTAAAGAAAAATTAAGAGCTCATTTGAAAAAGCAGATAACTCCATTTTGTAGATTATTGTAGATTATTTGTTGTTTGCTTGAGATAATATCAATCAAACTGAAGCTGAGTGGATTTGACTCAGTAGAAATGACAACAATAGAGATAACTGAAGTTTGATTGATATTGTCTCAGGTAGACGACGGAAAAGTGGGTTTTCTGAAGGTTTGTGAAGATGGAGTTCTCTGTTTTTGCCAATGAACTCTTCAAATACAGACAAAAACACTCCTTCAGTATTGCATTGAATCTCCCCATCCCCCCATTAATGCTTCAGATATTCACTGATGAAGTCAACGACAGCAAACATAGGGGAAAAATTGGGTTTCAAACAGGACATAAAATAAAAGAAAAGATTGTATTCAACATTACAAAAGCAACTTTGTGCAAAAACTCATGAGAAATTGCTTCTTAAAAGAGCATTTTCAACTTCAGTGACAGTTTAACTGCAGCTACTCTGTTCAGGTGCAGGTTTTACAGTTTTAGATGTTTGGAAGTATTTTTTTCTATCTGCCTTCCATTTAGTTTCATATGTTTTAGTGGCTAATGAACAGATTCTTAACACTTTCTTTTAAGTTTCCTTCTAACGCTAAAACAGATGCTTTGTCCGTGTCCAGCAGACACAGAGCAACATTTGTAATAATAATAATATTCATTCTACTTTGGCGTTGTCACTCTCCACCTACTCATAAGTAAAGCATCTCTTTTCCTGCTAAATGTGGCCCAGTTCTTATCAGCTTCTCACCAACTTTGTTGACCCTTTGCTGATTGTGTAGCTGCTGTGAATGAAGCTGTGGTCGGCGAGAGCACTGATGGTGAATAAATCACTGAATGAACTGCGGCCTGGAAAAACAAACCAGCGAGCCGAGACGTGATAAAACGCTCGGTAAAGCCGAGCGGAGCCGAAATGTACTTTCTGCTGGTTTCGCCACCTTGAATGACATCATTCACAAACTCACTGATACACTCAGCAGCCATTTTATTAGGTACACCTGTGAACTCCGCCAGCTCCGTCATAAAGTTTTATTACTTTCAGAAAAACCTTCTAACTTTTCAGTTTTTGCCCGCTGCACCTCCACCACCCACTATGACCTCAGTAGTGAATATAAAGTTGAACACATGTTTGACAGCATCAGCAAAAACTGGGAAATTTAGAAGCTTCATAAAAGCAGAATTTATGGCAGAGCTGTTGTACGTCAGTGTCAGTGCCAGCGTTACTTTTTACTTTTATATTCTAGTCTTATTTTGGCTTTCTTATTTTATTTTCAGCGATGCATCGAAGTTATATCTTACTGCTTTTCCACTACACACTGTATTTCTTATGTTAAGTACTTTAGTTTTTTCTAAGCAAAAAAAAGAAAAAATCCTCCAGGATGAACAGAGATTTATCTTATCTTATCTTGTCTTATCTCATCTAATCTCATCTCATCTCGTCTCGTCTCGTCTCGTCTCATCTCGTGTTATGTTGTGTTGTGTTGTGTTGTCTCGTCTCGTCGCATCTCGTCTCGTCTTATCTCATCTCAACTTAACTTGTCTAATTTCACCTCATCGTATCTTATCTTATCTCATTTTATCTCATCTCATCTAAACTTAACTTAAATTAACTTATCTCATCTCATCTCATCTCATCGTATTTTATCTCAACTCAACTTAACTAACTTATCTCATCTCATCTCATCTCAACTAAACTGAACTGAACTTAACTGAACTTAACTCAACTTATCTCATCTCATCTCATCTCATCTCAACTCAACTTAACTTAACTTAACTTAACTTAACTTAACTTAACTTAACTTAACTTAACTCATCTCATCTCATCTCATCTCATCTCATCTCATCTCATCTCATCTCATCTCATCTCAACTTAACTTAACTTAACTTAACCCATCTCATCTTATCAGGGCTGCATTAGGTTTCATAGGTGCACCTTATGAAGTGAGTGTTAATAGTTTATAGCAGTTTCATGTGTATCTGCAACTTTAACTATTTGTAAGCACAGACTTGCAGGAAAGTCTGCTCTGCATAAACTCATCATTAACAACCTGCATGCAACATTTATTTTTTTGTTTGCTGTGATGAAGTAAACTCTGACTGTCAAGGCTTCTAACTAATTTTCTCTTGGTGCAAAAATGAGTAGAAACCTAAATTTGCTAAACTATTTAAAAAAAAAACCCAACTTAATCTAGGTTTAGGTAGACGACTGTGTTGCCTGTTTCATTTTTCTGCCCTGAAGATGCATGAACTTCTTCAAAAACTGGTTCACGCTCCCTTGAACTCACCCACAAGGTCTGTAGGTGAAAACAATGTAGCTTTCTTCAGTCGTCCTCTCGGTGAACGTTACACAAGTGTGTTTCTCCCAGTGACGCATCGCCTGACGGAAAATGGCTCGCTGACTGCCTGAAAGGAAACTCTGAATTAGACATTTTCAGGATGTCCAAGCTGCAGATGGCAAAGCACACATGCTGCCGTACGGTGCCGCAGCAGCAGCAGGAGACGACTCCTCTGCAAAATTAAAAAGAAAAAAAAAAGAAAAAAGCTGGTGAAAGATGAATCGTTTTCCTCGTGAGCTCACCACTGAAGTTGCCGCTGATCACGTAGGGAATGATGCCGTCTGGCCACACGCGCTCGGGCCTGGAGGTGGCTGCTCTCCTGCGACGGTGGAGGCTCAGTCTGTCTGCAGCTCGCTTACTCCTGATGCTTTCGTTGGAACTATTAGCTGTGATGTTAAATGAAGCCTCAATTATCATCCATTTATAAGCACTTGAGTCAAACTTAATTACAGAAAGGTAAATTTCTTTTCCTGACCCCAGGAGCTTCAGTAAAAAGCAACTGGACTGTTTCACCGTTTACCCAAGAGGCTTCTTCGGTTCTAACTTAGAGGTCCAGAGAAGAGAAGAGAAGTCCAGCTGCTTTTTACTGAAGCTCCTAGGATTACCATGACCTGGACGACTGAGAATCCACCCAGACATTTGTTTTCCTGCTTTGACACCTGAGTTTGTGCGGTTGGTCCGGACGGTGTGACGTGACTCTCTGAACATACGGAGGTCGTCCTCATCCAGAGCGATGTCTCCCAGAAAGGCAGCTGTAGAGACAATTAAACAGCACGTACGTAAACGTGAGTGATAAAACTAAAACTTTGGAGTGTGTGCTGCCATCTACATCACATGTACACATTAAAGTGAACAAACTAATCTCCAACAACATCTTTAAAACAAACAAACAAAAAGGCTCATCATCAATCTCCTAAATTTTAAAAACAAAAAACCAAAAAAAACAAAAATAAAAAATATAGCTCATTAGCTCATTGGGAATAAGTAACAATAACACAAAAAGCCAAATCCAACCTGGAAACTGAACTACATATTGGTAGAAGATCTGCTAGTCCAGTGCACTAGTACACTGTGTTTTTCTTGGAAGCGTACATGAATGATGACAATAACTTTCCAGCAAATGAAAGATGTGCATCAGGATTCATTGTGTCTCCATTCTGATGAACAAATGCACCTCGTGAAAACAGTTTCCTGACACACAACAGCACACAAACTGAAACATACTGACGGACTGGTGTGATATGTTAACGGATGGAATCGTGAACTGAATATACATAAGGTGCAGGATTTTGCATCGTTGTCGAATTCCTACTTGAACATCAACGTACAGAACAAATCAGTCTTTAAATCAGTTCAGATTTGCGCCAAATTGTTTTTCACGTAATTGGTCTGTATGCATGGTTGTACTTTTCCCAAATTTTCAGAACTATGTTGTGGTGCCTCGATCGATAAGAAGGTTAAGGTACATAATAGACAAAATACTAATTTAACTCTCGTCATAAAAAAATGGGATTATCGTTTATGTGAGCCCGACAGTGTTTAAATTATTTTAATTCACTTTGATATCCTAGACTAAGGAGAGTGGAGCGGTGGTCAGCACCGTTGCCGCGCAGCAACAAGGTCGCCGGTTCGCGTCCCAGTGAGGACACCCGGGATCTTTCTCTGTGGAGTTTGCATGTTCTCCCCGTGCAGCGTGGGTTCCCTCCAGGTTCTCCAGCTTCCTCTCACAGTCCAGAAACATGCTGAGGTTAATTGGTGATTCTAAATTGTCTGTAGGTGTGAATGTGAGTGTGCTTGCTTGTCTGTCTCTAAGTGTAGCCCTGTGATAGACTGGTGACCGGTCCAGGTGAACCTGCCTTCACCCTGAGTCAGCTGGGATAGACTCCATCCCCCCATGACCCCAGTGAGGATTAAGGTGTATAGATGATGGATGAATGGATCCTAGGCTAAATTTAGAAATTCCCTGATTTGCAGTTTCTTTTTTCTATTTCCTGCAGCACCTTGTTCTTGAACCTTCACCAGCTGAGACTTTAAAATGTGAATAAATGCAAAATGAAGCTGCTTTATCACACATTTATCTACACAAAAGGACATTTATTGTCCCTTGAAATTCCCCAAAAAGCCCAATCATTAACCGTGAACCCCTTGATACTTTGTTTGTTTTGTGTGTGCTTAGCAGCATGGAGATGACCAAACATTTTTATCAGTGTGTGTTTATCATTTACAACATGACAACAGCACAAACTTTATGCTTCATTTTTCCACAGCAGCATAAATTGTCATGTGTGGATTTCCACGTACACAGAACGATGATGGACTGAGTGACCGCCAACAATGCAACTCACAGAAAAAGTAGCTGTTCCAGATGTGGATTTTTAAAACAGAACAGTCACCCAGCATCATGGTTGTTCTCATTCATCACCGCTTTGTTGTGTTTGGAAACAAAAGTCGCATCACTGCAGGATTTCATACGGTGCAGCACAGAAAGTGAAAAATAAAAGTGATGAAAAGTTGCAACAGGAGTTCCTAAATAGCTTCTGAACATGGCTGAATTGTTAGAAAAACTTGTCAAAAGCAGACAAATTGCCTGTAACAGAAAACTGGGCAAAGGTTTGTCTGCTGGCTCCGGCAGAGCACGTTGAAGTGAATGGGAAAAGCCTCAACCTCGGTGCTTCATCACAGAGCCGGCGTTCAGAGACATTTCAATCTGAACGCGTTCTCGAACATGAGAAAAAAATCGTTCGTGAGGGTTGATAAAAACACGAATCCAGGCATGATTTGCTAAACTTATAGGCGACATTAGACATATGCACTAGATCCTAAGTGCTTCACGAGGAGGCAGCTGGACTTTTGATTCTTGAGGACGTTTCAGCTTTAGTCTGAGAAGTGTTATTGGTTCTATCCGACTAGTCTGATGGTGGTGGAGGGATCTAGTAGATGGTTTGAGAGGGAAGTTAACCGTATTCAGGACTTTCGGGGTCTTTCACAGGTATTGTTTTTTTAAAATTTTTTTATAGATTTTATTTTTTTAATATAAAAAGAGGGACATTTGTCATGCATCTGGAAGCAAAAATACGTCAACTTATCAGACAATTTATTTAACATAGTTTAAAAGTCTACAATGAATACCAACAAATATTTTGCACATATTCTTTCTTGGAGTCCAATGACCCCGAAGACCTTCTACATATGGAAACATGAAAGTCCTGAATAGGGTGAAAGAAGCCATTATGATCAACTGGAACAGCGGCTATGGTAGAGCGGGTGTCCTCTGATCGTAAGGTTAGTCGTTCAATCAACCACCGCCCCTCCACAGTCGAAGTGTCCTTGGGCAAGACACTGAACCTGAAGTTGCTCCCAATGGCAGGCAGCACCTTGCATGGCAGCTCTGTCGCCATTGGAGTATGAATGGGTGAATGAGAAACACATTGTAAAGCACTTTGAGTGCCGCTAACTCCATTTACCATCTCTTAACAGAAGAGGAGATCAATGATACCACTTATCAGGTACTTATAATGCAGTCCTGAGATCCTTCCCCAGGATTCACACCTTGAGTCTCCAGTCATTAATGTACAGTCAGGTAGAACTGAGGACGCCTCTTGGACTATAAGTAAAACATGAAGTCAAGCTGCCTTCTAGTGCACTAGTCAGGATTACAATGATCCAGATGAATCTACACGGACCTCCACTCTGCAACGGATTAAGATCTAGTCCCCGGTTTAACCGCCATATTGTGCGAGCAGAACAACTCTGGAGTCTTTCCCTTTAAATACCTCATTCAGCCGTGTGATGTAACAACCTTTGAAAGTACAAATGAAAGGACGTAGCGGGTCCCTGTGTCGGCCTTTGAAGTAAATTCACTCATGCAAAGGGTGACTGTAAATGACTGTCACCCCTGCAGTGTGCACTCCATGCCCCAAAGCCAGAGGGATTTCACCGGCGTCCAGCCGAGGACTGAGCTGGCACAGCCTCAATGACCTTTAGTCTCCAGGCAACTGCCTCGGAGTGGAAGAGTGGTGTGTTTTCAGAGTTTCAGAAGTCACAAGTGGAGAAGGAACCCCGACCTGCTGGAGGCCCCCTAATGACCAGAAGTGAGCTGTTTGTCATGTCAGACGATGGGAAAAAAAAAAAAAAAAAAGTTTCTTAACCAAGACTTGTTACTGTACAAATGATTCACCCAATCAGCTGCAGAACAGTGAATTAAGACTTTTTACTCATAATGTACAGTTTCGCCATCGTCTGTATCCTCTCTGCTCATCTGGTATCAACACAGCGTGATTTATTGAGTGTTTCCGTTTCAAAGCAGATCATTTCCCTCCTCTCGTTACACATGATTAACTTACTCACTTCAGTGCAATTTTGAACTTTTCTCGACTGCATCCATTTCAAGCACTTTTTTATCCGCTACATGTACTTGGACAGATGTGTATTGTGCTCTGAGGATCAAAAAGTTAAACACAAAACACACATGTCCAGCTCATATGATATGATAATATGACAATTTGCCAACACTTTAGGATTCCTCGACCTCATCTTAAACATGAGAAAAACAGCAGAATGACTCTGAATGCAGCAACAATACGATATGACACAATAAAAGGGAGTAGTCTGTGCTCAATGAGTCCTTTTGCTTTTCCTCTTATTGCCACTTCTTCCACCACTGATTCTCTGAGCCGTAGACTACAGCATGCTTGTTTTATTTTAAACCAAACAGATCCACTAAGACGTGCAAAGCGGCACAAATGTCATCCAGCAACCGTGAAGAAAGTCTTACTTTGGAAGTGATTTTGCAGGAACATCTCGTGCAGATGCTCTCTGCTCTGCATCACGTCAACATCATGTCACCGGGGTATGAAAAGCGGATCTGCTCTTCATCAGTCTCGTGTATATCTATCAGTGATGACTGTCCTCAGGGGGACATTTACAGTACCTCCAGCTTGGTGCTGCTCTTCTTCTTTACTTTTCTTTTGTGCTGCTTGTTCTTTGGTTCAGCATATTTTACACTTTTACTTACATCTTTGAGGCACAAATTGCACTTTATTTCTATTAGATAAGAGTTTTTGCATACATAATATAGAATTATCTAAAGCTGTAAATTGAGATTTTTTATTTATAATGAAGTGTTTTTTATATTTTATTGCTTTTTACTTGAGTACAACAGCATTTAACTACCAGTAGCTTCTGATTAACATCCAATTAACTGCTATTTGTTATTTAATAATGTGTTTTTTTGCATAAAAAGATGAGCCTACATTAAATCCTAAACCCCCCACTGTCTTCCTATCCACACTGTTCTCAGCTACCTTTAACTTTAAAAGGTTTTGTCCTTTTCCTGTCCAGCTCACAATCATTAGGGCCTACATGATTTTGGCCAAAAATCAACATTCACACACTTACAGCAAATACAAGTAACACTATAAATCTGTAAAAACGCACAGTACCAGCTTTACAGGGATCCTTGTAGTCGATTGCATCCCCGAGGTAAGTCACAGCAGAGTCCACAAGCTCCCAGTCATCCGCCAGAGAAACGCGCAGAACGCACAGGAGGAACAAAAACGCGACTCCCATGACTTCCGATCAAATGTGTAGAGGAGGTAAAGTTGGTGGTTGTTGGAGGAGAAAGGAGAGCTGAGAGTAGAAAAAAGAAAGTTCCTCGACAGCGGCGGGCGGTGTGATTTTTTATGAACACAACGCTGTTTTCTCCATGCTGCTGCAGTGATCCGCTGACATACAGTACAGGACGGAGAGCAGCGCTCACGCAGCGCGCAGCAGAGCGCACATCCATGCGTTTGGAGCCACAGAGGTACTTCACCTGCAGCCAGATGGCTAATGTGTATTTACATAGGGTGTTGCTACGTGGTGAAAAGCACATCTTTGTTTTATTACTGTCTGTTTATAGCACATTGACTCACATTTTAAACCATGTGGAGCATCATGGAGCATAATAGATGAAATACAAGGAGGATGCAAAGGAAAGTTACAACTTAATATTTATCTGATGCAAACTGAAACTGACAAAATCATATATTTTTTAATCAACTATCCACCATCTGTGATTTGTAGGAGAGGTTCTCAACTCAACAGCCTGATGTTCTTTAGAGACCTGATCAATAAGTGTTGATTTTTTTCCAGGTTTACCTCCTGCAGCCTGCACATCGACTCCTCGCACACATCTGCTGTGATCTATGGAAACACTGACTCATCAATTAGTGCAGGACCTGACGCCTGATTAAAGAACAGAGTTCCCATAAAAAACAAAGGACCCACTTACTGAGCAACATCCTCAGCTGCCCCCACAAACCATCCATCTCTAAGGCTGCCACATTTAGAGTAAACTGCTGCTTGTAGTTTGCCAACTTTAATTAGGCAAAAGCGTCGCCCCTTTGCGAGGGATAAATCCTGTTTTCTGTTCTTCAGATGAGATAGTTTGCTGCCACACACAGTGTCATGCTGTGCAGACTCAACTTGCTCCTGGCACGAGAAGAGGAGAAGATTCATCCTCCTCTATGAACTGCTTTTTTACCCTGGCACAGAACGCAGCGAGCCGCTGCCATCACTTTTTTGGACCCGGCTCCAGTCACCACAGTCGAGCTGGTTCAGTGTCACAGGATCTCTCTGTAACAGCAGGCCCTGTCGCTTTGAGAAGTTTTTAACAGCTCCATCAAAAGTCTGACACAAAGTTTTAAAGAAATAGTTTAACTTTTGAGAAATTTGTCTGTTTTCGTGTCATTTAAACATGAAGGAGACGTTAGTTTTGCTTCGACAAAGACTAGAAACAGTTGGCCAAACTGGCTCTGTCAGATAGTAGTAGAATCCAACAGAGAAAGTCAGTTTACATGTCATATCTTGTTTATTTTGTGCAAAAACCAAAGTGTAAAAATGTCAAATGGTGGTTTGATTTGTGATTTTGACTGTTTCTTAGCCAAGTGCACAAACTGTCTCTGGACAGAGTGCATAGTAACGAACTAGGAAGTCATTTCAACATATCCAGGGTTTATTCGCATTAGCTAGTTTATCAAGCCTGATACCTGAGTCTGAGAAAACAGGCATCATGATGATGGTTATCAACCGGGTGTAGACTCTATGCATTTTTTATTTATTTTTTTTCGTGGTGGAATCATTCAAACATGCATATCTGTCACAAAACACTATCATGCATTGTGGTTCTTTCATAGTTTTCATCACAGGTCTTTTAAAAATATAAAAAGAAAATATGTCTGCTTGGTCAAAAATATACATACAGAAATGCTAATGTTGGTTAAACGTCTTTTGGCCATTTTCATCTCAACTAGGCTCTTTTGGTGGCCGTCCACCAGCTTCTGGTTCTATCTTCAACCACTCGTCTTGACAGAACCAGTGCAGTTTAACTAAATTTGTTGGCTTTCTGACATGGACTTGTTTCTTTGGCACAGTCTACAGCAGGGGTCTCCAATCCTGGTCCTCGAAGGCCACAGTCCTGTATGTTTTAGATGTTTCCTTCTTCCAACACACCTGATTCAAATGATCAGCTCATCATCAAGCTCTGCAGAAGCCTGATAACGATCCTGATCAGGGAAACATCTAAAACATGCAGGACTGTGGCCCTCGAGGACCAGGATTGGACACCCCTGGTCTACAGGTTCTTGATAAGGTCAAGACTTTTGACCCCAGTCTTTAACCTTAACTCTAGCCTAATTTAATCATTTCTTTACCACTTTTGATGTGTGTTTGGGGTCATTGTCTTGCTAGAACACTTAATTTCATCAGAGAGCCACCCTTCTGGCTGATGATTTTAAATTGTCCTGAAGAATGTGGAGGTAACTATTCTTCTTCATTAATCCAATTACTTTGTGTAAAGCACCAGGTCTGCTGGCAGCAAAACAGCCCCGGCGCATAATGCTGCCACCTCCATGCTTGATGATAGGTTTGGTGTTCTTGAGGTTAAAGGCCTCACCTTCTCTCCTCCAAACATATTTCTGGTTACTGTGTTCAAAAAACGGCTCAAATTTTTGTTTCTTTTCACACACCACAGGACTTCATTACACAAGGCCTTTTCTTTGTCCGTGTGTTTAGCAGTAAACGTCAGACAAGTCACACAGAGCTGCTTCTAGAGGAAGAGCTTCCTTCTTACACGGCAGCCTTTCAGCTTATGTTGATGTAAAACATTCCTGACTGTGGACACTGACAGCCACGTTCCAGCAGCTTCTAACTTATTGCAGATCTGTTTTTTTTTAGTAAATCTTGGTTGACTTTTGATCTTTCTGAACAGTTGTCTCTAAGCAGCGGGTAATAACTTGTGTTTTCTTTCTCATTGTCACAGTAACACAACCGTACCATGCACCATGCCTGCTTTGAAACGGCTTCAGGTGACTTTCCTGCAGCTCCATACATGCAGTGTTGCTGCTTTAACTGCACAACAAGTAATGTCTTAAATATATAATAAGCTGTCATTATTAAAATAGCCTTTCTTTTGTGAATTTGTGTGTGTGTGTTTTTTTTTTTAATTGAACCATTTAAGAAAAGACATTTAGGTGTGTAAAAACAATGCATTTACATTTCTGTTTCTTATAGACATTATACACTAATTAAAACACATTCATTGAATATGTTTGTTATAAAAACTTCTCTAATTGTATTATATCTCATTTAACAAACGAATCTAAGTAAAATTACAGAAACATACTATTTTTATGTAAATTGTGTGTAATTTTAGAAATATATTTACACTGTTAAACTAGACATTAACAGCTTTGTTTATACGTATAAAGGTCTTTTAAGGTTTTTTAAAAAATAAAATAAAATAAAATCTGTATTCTTGATAAAAAAAATTCACGATACATGTTTTTTTTTGTAATTGTATTTATATTTTTGTTATTTAAAATAGTGAAAAATCCATTTAAAGAAAAAATTCTGTAAAATTACAGATTTCTTTCTTCTTCTTTTTTGTTTATTGTGTAGCTTAGCTTAGCATAGAGACTAAAAACTGGCAGAAGACATCAAGTCTGCTTGACCCAAAATCTGCCAAATGCTAAAATTCTACTAATCATTGCATCTCATCTGTTAAATTTGTGCACAAACAGAAATATAAACAGTAGTAGCAGCTCTTTAACCCCTGTAGTGCTCCTTACTTCTCACAGTATCTTGTCTCCTTCCTTAAAAATTTGTAGAAATTCTGTTGCGCAGGAAGAAGTCAGCCAAGATTTACACAAAAGCTCCCAATTTATCAACTTTTTCACATATTCTTAAGTCCTACTTTTATACAAAAACCCTGCATAGCATTCGTTCTCTCTGTCATTGAAGGGTTAAACCATGTTTGATATAAAAACAAAATGCCCCAACAAGTATAACTTCATGAGAGACAATCCAATTAATCCAATTTGTGCAGCGATAGTTAAGTCAGAGAGAAGCAGACAGGCATCTGAATATGAAATGCAGCTCAGCTGAATGACAGTATGAAGTTCAGCTGCAGTGTTTTGTATGGTGCATGTGTTTACCACTAAGTGGCACTGATGCATAAGGTGTAGAGTCGAGTAAACCTCCAACACAAGTGAAAGAAACAAACAAAAGAAAAGCTCAAGTTGGAGCAAACATCTGCCAAAAGCTGTTGAGGGTCATTCAGACAAAACAGATGTAAGAAGCAGTAAATCCCCCCCCCCACCGATTCACATGCCTGTGTTGTGTTTTGATGTGAAACTCGTGGCACCGGGTGCTAAAATGATTGAGTGTGGAGAGAGAGGGAGCCGAACACTCAGTCCCACCAGCTTCACTCCTCCTCTGCCAGCACACATCTGCTGCTGAGGAGATGGGACACTGATCCCGAGAGGAGCACTCTGAGCTTTGGAGATCAGTCCTCGCGGCATGGCCGGCTGCATCGCTGCACACTGAGGGAGAAGTCACAGAGAAGAAATTCCAACTGGAGAATATTTACCTTCTCCCCAGGCTGAGCGTTCTCTTAAATCTGGGGTGATGTCCCAGCGCTGGTGCAGGCAGGTCCTGCTCGGTGTGGAGCTGCTGGTGGCGGTCCTGGCGGCCGGCGCTGCAGCACAGTTCACTGAGAGGAGGCAGGCGGGCTCGTCCTGCTACGGAGGATTTGACCTCTACTTTGTGTTGGACAAGTGAGTGCTTTTACTAGATCTCAGAGGAAGTTATTGTTAATGTTCTGTGCATGACTCATGTGAGTTTGTTTTGAAGACACAGGTGCAAGCTGTCCTGCAGAGGCATTAATGGACTACTTGAGAAATAAGCACTACTGTTGTGTGGCAGGCAGATTTCAGCCTATTGATTGGACATATCTTTAAAAAAAATATTGCTGATTTTGTGTGACATGCAAGTGACCTGGAATAGTGAGCGAAGACCTCATAAGAGCAGCAGCTGGCACATGTGTGTGTTTATTTTGAAATGTCACCTGTTGAACTGTCTCAGCTTGAAGGGAGGTTTTCTAAGGAGTAATTTTACAGTTAAAACACCCTTTCCACCATCAGATGTGGTTATTTATTGATGGTTTCTTGTGGTATTCAACTGTCACAGCTATTTAAAAGCTCCATCAATTCCTGCTTTATGAAACATAGGAGTAAACAAATAAATAACGTTACATTTGTCAGATTCAAATTAACTGTGACTGTGATCCGCATCGTACTAGAACAGCAAATAGCCTTACAATTATTTTATTTACCAGCTCATCTTCTGGTCTAATTAAAAAGCATTTCGAGTTGAAGAGTCTCCAGAGTTTAGGATGACGTCTTCGAGTGTATTATTTTCTCCAAGCCGCAGTTTGAAAATATTCAATTATGCAGAACAGCAGCTGGCATTAAAATGTCTTAAATGATTATTGGTTATCAGATTCAGGAATGCTTCTCTGTCAGTCCAGCAATCGTTTAATGTCTGCTGCAACCCTGTGTCATCTTCTTGAACAAACACAGGAGCAGATCTCTCAGGACTTGAACGTTCTGCGGCATAAGTTTTGAATTACACTCTCCATTAAACTGTCATGAAGCTCCTCGAACAGGTCGCTCCTAAACTTTCTCCTAAAAGAGCCAAACATACATTAGTAGTTGCTTTTTGCAAACACTCGCTATGAACCACTTAAAACCTGACAGAAAGTGTGTTTACACCGTGACATCTTCTTCTGTAACGTGTTTATGCGTTCGCTTGTGATGAAGTGCGCCGCAGGGATTCCTGTTGTCAAACTGCGGCCGCACTTTGCTGACAGGAGCCGCTCCAGCCGTCCAGTCTCTCTCTGTGTGCGCTTCGCTCTGTAGAACCCTTTCTCCATTAGAGCCAGATGTTCCAAAGATCCCGGGTTGTTGGCTGTCTGAGCGCTGGGACTCACATCACACGATAAATGAAAACATAAGGGAGGAAGAGGAGGAGGAGGAGGGAGGCAGCAGGGCAGTGTGAGAGGAGGCGGTGGAGGTTATGCATAGTTGCTCCACAACTCTCTTTAATTAGTGACCTTCACTTAAAAATCTACATTATTTTGCGGATTTGCTTTGTGGAGTTTGCACCTGCTGCAAAATCTGGACTCAGAAGGAGGCCAGAAGAGAATCGTGCAGCTCTTTAACGTTTTGTTTGGCATCGAAATAATGATCAATAAGTTAACTGACACACTAACGTTTAGAAAATGGCACAAGTATGCTTAAAGCAGCCACGGCAGGATATCTCAAGAGTTGCACACAAACAAAAGAACAAGAAGTATCACTGATGTGTTATTTGTTAATGCATATTATCCTCAGATAGGTTTTTGTTTTGTTAAATCAGATTGTTTACTTGATCAGTCAATCTGCAGTAATTTAGCATTTCAAGTTATGTTAAAATAATCATTTATTTGTTGTTTTTCAAGCCAAAAAAATGCAGATAAATTGCTGGTTGCAGCTTCCAAAGTGTAAAGATTTAACATTTCAGGGTTTAGTTTGGAAAAAACAAACACTTTGAAGAAACCGCAGAAATTTAAATGGAGATTTGTGCTGTTTTCTAATGTTAATGCGTCATCAGAATAATTTATATTGAAGACAAACATATGTACAGACCTACAGTTATGTGCTTTGAAGGCGTTAATGGCACAGCTCATGGTATGTTAAGGTATTAAGTGAAGGCAGAGCTAGAATGCTGCAACCCTTAATCAGATCCCACGACAGTGAAAAGCCAAACATTCCACCTTTAAAAAAAAAACAATGCATCATCAGTTTGCAGTTCAGTTATCAGTTGTTGGTTTTATCAGAGAACCCTTTTCAACATCTGTCTCCTGTGCGGACGTACACTAAGTATTTACAGCAGCTCTTACTTCGTGACAGTTTGTGGACTCAAGTTTTGGTTCAACCGTCTCCACGAGTGATTTAAACTAAAGTCGCTGCTCGAATCTCTCCAATCTCCTTCTCAGGTCCGGCAGCGTGCAGCATTACTGGAATGAGATATACTACTTTGTTGACCATCTGGCTCACAAGTTCATCAGGTACGACCACACAGACACGGAGTAAAGACGAAAATAGAAAATCATAGACTGTAAAACATGACAGTCCTCTCCTTCACCTTTTTTTTTTCCTCTCCAGCCCTCAGCTGCGGATGTCTTTTATTGTCTTCTCCACAGAGGGGAGGACTCTCATGGCGCTAACAGAAGACAGGTGGCACAGACGCACATCTTTATGATTCACTTTAAATCTCCAGCGCTGTGTCCTTCCACTGTGACCAATTCTTTTTATCCCTTCTTGTCAACGACCAGAGAGCAGATTCGAGCCGGACTGGAGGAGCTGAGCATGGTGCAGCCGGGCGGAGACACCTTCATGCACAGAGGATTTCAAAGAGTAAGTCATCTGTTAAGTCGATGGAAAACTGACCCTACCCACCAGTGTGCCATCTAGCTCTGCAAATGAGGCCTATTTAAATTTATAGCCACTGACGCCTCCAAACTTCTCTCTCAGGCCAGCGAGCAAATATATTACGGGACTGGAGATGGTGAGTAGAAGGTTTTGCTTTTTAACACTTAATCATGGTGGAGTCTTTGCCCCCATCATTAGAAGTCATATTCATAATTCAAGCATATGGTGGATTCATCACATCACAGAGAGATACAGCAACAGAAGCACAGCTGCTCTTTACATCACAGTTCTAGACTTTTTTCCCCAAAATGAATATTGATTCTTATTGTGAAAAACACAATTGATGAGACTAATTAGTTTCCAGTTTTAACTGTGGGTGGCACCGTGGGTGGTGCAGCGTCGGCTCTGCTGCCTTTCTATGTGGAGCTTGCATGTTGTCAGGGAGCCTGCGTGGGTTTTCTTAAGTGCTTCCTCTCACAGTCTAACGACATGCGTGGCAGGATAATTGGTGATTCTAAATTGGCTGGGAGTGCGAGTGGTTGTTTGTGTCTTTGCGATGAACTTCTAACCCGTCCAGTGCTCGCCCCTTGTCCAGTGTTGGCATGAATGGGCTCCGGTGGGTTTAACCAGTGGATGGATCGAGAAAATTTCAACTGTTTTCTGTCTTTCAGGTTACCGGACAGCCAGCGTCATCATCGCCCTGACAGACGGTGAACTGAGAGAAAATCAGTTTGACCTGGCACAAAGAGAGGTGAACATGCAGAGCAGATCTGCCATAAGTCAGTGACTACAGTGCATGACATAGTTTTGTTGGTATCATGTGATAAAACTTCATAACACATGTTTTTTTCTCAGAACCTAAATGGTGAATCCATACTAAATTACAAGTACATCTCTATATGTGGAGGCTTGTTGTGCTCGTGGCCACATCTCACTCAGCGCTGCCACATCATAAAGTGGATATAAAATATGGATGTAGCCTGCTGGTTTGTGAACTACTGCTTTGAAGCCTTGAGTTTTACATTTTTGCTGCTGCCATCAAATACTGAAATCAGACAGCACACTGCACAAGTCTATAGGACAGTAACTTGTCGATCACAATGTGTTCTAAAATGCTTATTTACCTCTTATATGGGATCATACTTTTCAAAATGAACATTGTGCTACATTGAAGGAACCTTAAAGCTATCAATTGAGATCATAAACTCATCAGGAAAATGTTTAATGAGGTGATAAACTGATTTGAACGTTTTCAAAGTAGCTTCTATACAATCAAGCTACGTTTGCATCCGGAGGAGTCGCCCCCTGCTGGAGGCTAGAGAGAAAGCAGGTTTAAAGCGGCTTTCACACAGGACGTGGTACGCGCTGCGCTTGCTGCAGGTTTCAGAGGGAGTCGCAGACTAGCCATAAAAATAGGTGGATACTACAAAACTTCCAGCGGGGCAACGTCACCATCCTCTCAAGCAAAAAGCTTTCACTTTGATGCAAACAGTGAAGAAGTAACTGTCCTGTACTAAGTAGCAAACATTAGCACGAGCCTTAGCACTATCCAATTAAATTCTAACTTTTGTATGCAGCGTCAATTCACAACATATGTGATCTCATAGCTTCACATAGTAAGATGAAGACTTTACACCATGTCCTGGCTCTTAATAAAACCTTTATCCCCGAGTCTCAATACAACCACAAAGTTATATCACGTAATTCAGGGAATTCAGATACTTTTCTCCACTTTGCCCTCTGTGCAGACGATATGCCTCATTTCTATTGCCGGCGCAGCCAAACGTCGTAGCACACAGGGGTCCACGGCAAGCATGTGATCTCTCTGAGCTGTGCACTTTGCTTGGCACAGCAGCATGCCGTCGCTGGGCTGCACCAAGCAATAGACATGAATAGGTTTCAGAACGCAGTGGCGCCAGCGTCCTGTGTGAAAACCCCTTTAAACCCTTCTGCATTGACTTCACTTATCAGACCTGGAGCCTACGTCCATCTTCTATAAAACATGTATCACACAGATGTTTTCCAGCAGCTGTCGGTGGCATAACATCATCCGCAGTCATATCAGGTTTTTAGGTTTCAGTCCATCCACAGCAGCACTTTTCCTCTCCTTGTGATTTAGCTCATCACTTGACTGAAGCATGTTTGTCTGTTTGCTTAATGTCTCGTTTTGAATCAGGCCAGCAGAGCGCGCCAGTTGGGGGCCACTGTGTACTGTGTGGGCGTAAAAGACTTCAATGAAACCCAGGTAACCAACGGATGAACCAATCAACCATCTAAACAATCAGTTAAAGCTCGAGTAAGCAGTGTTGTCTGGGGTGGAAATGTAATGTTAACCTTTCAGTATATTATAAGTCAAGCTATCTTTGGAGAAATTAGACTTCAGTACCTCCGCTTGCTTTTGTTTTTTAGCTTTAGAAAATGACGTCAATAATGGGAAGTTTTAGCCAATCACAGGTCTTTTCACCCAGATCTGCAGCAGCAGGATGTGATGGTAAAATGATTTAGATGGAGGACTTTGACTCAGGAGAGTGAAGTTTGAATTGTAGCTGAAGCCATAAATGAATGTTGACTTTTTGCTTTGAAATGCGTGTTAGTCTAGTGGAAGGAACATATAGACTTTACATCATAGTTTTATTGTTGTTGATGCTTTTTTAAATATTTCTTCCTACTGCTTCTTTAATCATTTAACCCTATGTATTGACAGCTTTCAACGATAGCTGACAGTAAGGACCACGTCTTCCCTGTGAATGACGGCTTTCAAGCGCTGCAAGGGGTCATTGACTCGGTAAGAGCTTGACATACATAAAAGATGCAGATGCCTTAAATCTCTCTCTAATCTACTTACCCACACTATTATTTTCACTGTCAGATCTTGAAGCGGTCGTGCATTGAGATCCTGGCCGTGGAGCCCTCCAGCATCTGTGCAGGAGGTAAAGATGAGAATAAAAACACTGCTAACACTAAACCAGGGGTTGCTAAAGTTTTTAACCTCCAACCCCCAAAATAACTGTGCTAGAGACTCACAACCCCCCATGTCCCCGGAGGAGGTTGAATCAAAAACCGAGCACTAAGCGGCACAACGAAAATAATATTTTACAGTAATTTAATACAGGCTAGTAGCAGAATACATTAATCAAACTAATCTCCAGGTATAAGCCGAGATACTGAGTAAACATACAGGATTTAGGAGCAGCAGATGTACAGCTTACGTCTGTGTGTAAGGAGCAGCAGATTCCTACATTCCTGTTGTCACGTGCAAACTTATATTTTGGGAATTTTCAACTCATTACTTTCATTTTAAAGTCACCTGATAAGATGAGTGGACACTATGTTTGAAGCCCAGCAAGTCCATTCTGGGTTAAATTTAGGGGACAGCTACTAGAAAATCATACTCTAAGTTTCTATTTTGATTTTAAATTTAATTTGTTCAACCTTTATTTAGGTTAAAATTTAAGAATAAACACCATTATAAAGTTAGAAAAGATTATACGAATGACAACACCTGACATAGGATGCGAGTAAAGCCCATTTAAAGAACCAAAGGATTGAAGATGCGCAATACAGACACTAGCGTAGGAATCGCTCTGTTCAGTTACACGTCAGAGCTTTGGACACCACCAGGAAGACAAAATAATGAAGCTGTTCTGAAGGTTGTTCCAGGATCAGGGAGCTAAACAGGAGAAGAGCAAATCCTGGTCCCCCTGTAGAGCAGCCAGCTAGATGATCGAGAATTATAACCGCTGTTAGTAAGGGAGAGAAAATCACACAAAGAAAGGGGGAGTCGACAGAAAGAGGAGAATCTACCAGTGCTGCTGTCTCCTCAGGCTGAATGAAGGCCAAAAAACCAGATCAAAAGTGATCTGTGCTGGACAATGAGCTGGACGTCAAACAAAGAGAGCAGAGGAAGCACATAAATGATGTCTGAAAACAAAGTGTTGACACAAACAAAAATAAGAACATCTATCGACTGATTTATTGATTTTCGCCCCCGCTTTGGGAACCCCTGCTGCACACAAACCCTTGTGCTGTTTACATTTAGTTTGAATATGTCCTTTATGTTCCTCAAAAAAAATGTCCTGTTCAATATTATAAAATGTACTCCAAGGAGTAATAACTGTATTAATGTTGAACTTAATCCCGCTGCAGAATCCTTCCAAGTGGTTGTCAAGGGAAACGGTTTCCTTCACGCTCGAGACGTACAGAAAGTTCTCTGCAGCTTCCGCATCAACGACACCATGACTTTGAGTGAGTGCTTTGCTTCTCTGATCTTTTTTCCAGGCAGACACACAACAATAGGAGCAGTGATTTTCTTTTTATCCCCCACTGATTGTACCAGTTTATAACCCGGCTCAGTGGTCCACCAACTCGGTGCAACTTTCAGGTCATTGTTTTGGTTTTACAGCCTGGAACCTTACCCCTGCAGTGGTTCATGCTGAATACAGATAAAATTAGAAACTAGCTGGTGATATATGGTGAAGCGTTTAGCAGCTATACTCAGACCTTTCCCCCCAGGAGTTGGTGGAGCCCAAAAACGGAGCAAAAACAGAGTTAAGCAGAGTAAATAATGGGCTTGCATTCATCAGTTTGACGTACACATGGCTTCGAATGAATCCTTTTTTTTTTAACTCTGTAACTGCTAGATATGTAAATACTCTGCCAACAAAATTTGCTCATATTTCCACGGCTATAATATGCCACATGTGAGCTTGTTGGAGAGTTCTTCTTCCACAAGGCAAAACAGGAATAAAACGCAAACTTGTTCATACATTTTTGACTTTATAATTCTTTTTTTTGCTTTACTAAATGTAATCCGCTAACAACAAATCATCTACAGACTTGTGCGAAGTTGTACGAAGATTTAAATGCTGCAAAAACTTGAATCTTCGAATTAAAGGTTGTAAATGTACTTCATTCATTCTTGCAAAATTAAACACTCTCATGTCCGTAAATATGAAGCTCCAGCACATCCAGCAGCCAATTAGCTTAGCATAGCATAAAGACTGCAAACAGAGGGAAGCAGCTAACCCGGCTCAGTTCAAAGGTAACGCGTAAAACGGTTTTATTGGAGTGGAACATGCTGCTGTTTTGGTGGCGGATAAAAGACAAAAGCACAGACTGTGGACGGATTCTGCTAAAGTCATCTTACAGTCTGTATGATGTCATTCTGAAGGTATGACATCTTCAATGCAAAGTGCGAACGGTGGACAGACGAAGCCAGAAGAATGTTAATGCATATGCGAAAAAGTAGAGCAAACAATTACCCGTCCAACCACATTACGCATATTGTAAAGTGGAGCAAGCAAACATTTACAGCACCGCGCCAAGTTTATTTTGGACGTGGGTGGGTGGGGGGACGGCAGCCCTTTGTGGGCAACAATGATTTAAATCCTCGCCCTCCTCAAAAACCATCAGCGCCATGTTGCTCTGCTTCGAATCAGCTGGTATAACGCTCAGAGCTTCTCAGATGTCCAACGAGGAATGTGGATCTCATCAGGGACGAGCACTGTCTTTGCGCACACACTAGACACTCACTCAGCCAGGGTAAATAAACCACAACCCTCCCTCATTTGCTTCATTTTCCATAAGGAGAGGAAGTCCAGGAATTTAATAACGAAAAAAAATATATTTTGAGGCATGAATCTTCTGAAGTTTCGGGACTGGTAGAGAAAAGCGAAACAAACTTTTCCTTTGTATCACTTACTTCTCTTTAAAGTCCTGGATGCAAATTCCTCTGTTGATTCTTTTTCCACAGTGAAGAGACCTTTGGTGGTGAGAGATACCTATCTTCTGTGCCCAGCTCCTGTTCTGGAAAAAGCAGGAACGTAAGTGACGACTGTAACTTTTTCGCAGTCTGGTTTATATTAGAAGAGTGAAGAGGAAACATTTTAATAAGATGCATCTTAAAATAGTAACTTGATGTCGACACCACAGCTTCGGGATGCGCAATATTGTACTTTCAATTATTATTATATTACAAGCAGCTGTTGGAGGACAAACTGGGTTTTCAACTGAGGATGTTTGCATTCTTATCATTTAAAATTCTAAATGGAAACAGGAAATATTGGGGGGGGGGGTTTGTCTTCAACCACAATCAGCACGATTTGCAGAGTTGCATCTTCAGAGTTTGAGCAACACTGCATTGACTGTGCTGTCCTTCCTGCAGGTCTGCCACTCCCTACGTCAGCATGAACAACGGCATCAGCTTCATATCGAGCTCTGTCACGATCACTGCAGTCGCCTGTGTAAGTACGACGAAAACCAAGATGGCCCAGAATGCCTGAGCTTACACATCACCTCACGGCTAAAAAAAAAAAAAAACGTCTGCGATGCACTTCAGTCTAGACATGGACTTCCAACTTGCAGGTGGCTGCTGACCTTGTGTAGATTTTTACCATCACAGAATCCCAACAGCTCCTTTGTTCTCGTGTGAATCAGCAGTTTCTGAACTTCCAAACCTCACATGTGTCTGCTTGACCCTCTGCCACAGTGTGCTGCTTTTCATTAGTGGCCTTGACACGACAAGATGCTGTAAACGTTTAAACTAATCCATATTGTCCTCTGCATGGAAAATGTTGTTTGAGTTTGCTTGAAGGTTTAAACTACAAATACTCTATTACTGATTGCACGTAACTTATAATAATAATAACAATACTATTAAAAATAGTAATAATAATAGTAGCAAAGTGCTTCAAAATAAAAGCATATATTGCAAATAAACAAGATCCAAAGCATAAAATATCACAGGATAAAATAAATTAAATAGCTACTAACCATTAGGACTAAGTACTACAATTAGGTCAGTATCAAGAGGAGATTATTTCGACTCATCGGTTGTAGATTGTGTGTATAAGTCTGCCATCGGCCTACTTTTCACACGACTTTCTCCTCCTCTTCCACTATCTATGTGTTACCGCTTTCAAAGTCCACTTCACGGCAGGAAACAACAACAACAACAACAACTACAACAACCTCCACGCAGCAACCTACCACACTGAACACTCCAAGTTTTGGCGAGGATTTGGATCATGCAGTAAGGCAGCCCTGCTAGTTCATTTATTTATTTATTCTTTTGTTTTTTTTCAGTAAATTAGTCGTATTAATAACAGCGCTCGCCTCCCTGCATGCAAATGTTCCACCAAAACAATTCACTCGTCACTAATTTGAAGGGAAACCGTCGCTGCATCATTCACTCAGCTTCGCCTACTATGATTGGTTTAAAGAAATACTAACCAGCCAGAATGTGTTTGTTCCCTTCCCTTGTAACGGAATGACAATCAGTTCGGTGCTGCAGAATGGTCTGGCTATGCGGTAGAGGAGGTTGCCTGCTACAGATCTCTATTTAAGGCTGAGGAGCTTCACAGAAAAGGCTCAGTCACCTTTAGTAAGACTTTGGAAGTGTTAGTAGAACCCTGGTGGAGAATCTCAGGCAGCGATAAGACTCACAGGGAAATCAAACATACAGGCAGGAGTTCGACCATTCAAGCAAATCTTAAAATGAATTCTAAAACTCACTTGGAAGCTAGCGTTGGGGGTCATATGAATGCTTCTCTTGGTGCATGTTAAAAGCCTTGCAGCAGCACTTTGAACTGGATTTGGATGTTTTCGCTTCCTGCTACTAGAATAAAGTGCAACAGTAATAACACAGTGATCCGGTCTGGAGGAGGTGAAAGCATGGATGACCTTTTTTAAAGCTGCACCGGAGAGGAATGACCTTTTTTTAGCTGTCTTGGTTGGGCAAAGCAAAACTGCACCACTTTGCTTCCCTGAGCATTAAAAGACAACATAAATATGAACACTACTTACCCAGACTATAGTAGAGATGCTGATGCCTCTGGGGCTAAAAAGGAATGAAAATTATTACAATCACTTCAACATTTGGGGTCATTCAGATGCATGAAAAATCCAGTTTTTAATTCCAGCAAGGCAGGAGATAATATAAGAGAAATGAAAGGTATCAGACTCACGTATGTACAACTGGGTGTCATCTGCGTATCGGTGGAAGCCAATGTAATGTCCAGTATCTCCTTCTTCTTCTAGTCTGATGGGACGTTTGTGGCCATAGCTCTGCTCATCCTGCTGCTCCTGCTGACCGTCGCTCTGCTGTGGTGGTTCTGGCCTCTCTGCTGCACAGTGGTACGACAACGGAAAACTCACAGACATGTCGTTGCTAGTTGTTATAAGAATAGCTTGAATATTACAGGATTTTTGGTGTTTACTTTTTTTATGCTTGCAGGTCATTCATGAGCCGCCTCCTCCAGTCATAGAAGACATCTCTGTGAGTGGTTTTATCTGTTCAAATTCTCATTTACATTTCAGTGTCTTTAGGAATATTGTGTTTGTCTCGGCAACAAATGGACACTTCTTTGCTTTCTTTAGGATGATGAGGATGGCTTTCCGAAGAAGAGGTGGCCCACGGTAGATGCGTCGTACTACGGAGGCCGTGGAGTCGGCGGCATCAAGAGAATGGAGGTAAAGTGTAAATAAGTTTGAGTTTGGTGTCTAGTATAATGATTTTTCATACTGGTTGGGACTGGATGTACTGCTTTACAGCGACTCTGTTAGCCGGTTTCGAGTCCACAGATGAACCACGTGGCAAACTCGACTCCAGCAGTCAGCTGAGCGAAAGTTGAAGTTCAGTGCTGAAAGATGGGAATGAGATCAAACGCCAGTGCAGCGGGGAAAACAAAAGGGAAGCAGGAAACAACTCATTCCTTAAAAGAGATGAGTTCGCAAGTCCACGCTGGAAGAGCCTGAGTCACATTGTTGATGCGACTGGTTTCCGAGAGCCAGGGAGAGCTAAGTTGAGGCCATCTGGACAGCAAAGTGCAAGGACGGCAGAAATCCTTGGTGGAATCAAAGAGAGGAGAAGCTTTAAGGGTCTGAGCTTGCATGATTTGTTTGTGGTTGTTGTTGGGTGGCTTTAATTTAGCAGTTTGAGAGAGAAAAACAAAAAGTAAACCTAATTTCTCTTTGTGAGAAAGACCAGTAGTGAGGAGAAGGCTCAGGGACATGATGGTAGTCAGTGAGTTCACTGTGGAATTAGAAAAGGCTGCTTGACATCAGATCTCTGTGCAACACGATGCCCGAGAGCAGCAGTTTGTAGGAGGTGAGCTCGACTCAGATCAAGAGACGTCTCGGTCAAGGAGACAGAAGTCCTGGTGTCAGCGTGCAGCGCTTTGTGAAGCGGTGGTGCAATCTGAGGAGTTTGTGCTGTGATTTTTTTGCCTTGAAGCTGCACCGCTTCCAAACACAGCGATGGAAAATATGCACAGCTTCATTTATGTGCTTTTCCTGCCAAGTTAAAAGTCCTCATGGCTTGTGGCAGCTGCAAAAGTGTGAATTTGAGTAATGAACTTCCAAGGTTTGCTTGGACAGCGCTGGTTTCACTCTAGACGTGTCGGCTCATTCTTGACATTTTAGCTTTTTTAGGGACTCTTCAAGGCAATTGGGTTAGAATAAAAAAAAAAAACCTCTTAGTGAGACATTCTTTACCTTTGAGGAGGCAGTCAGTGTCAGTGAGTTTGTAGCCTGAATTTTGAGGTTTAACTATTTCAGTAGTAAATGCCCTATATTCTGTTAGAGGTTTAGGAAAAACCCCAAATCCAAAACTTATCACAAATTGACACAATTAAGCTCTGAGGTTAACGTTTGTGGATTTCAGTTGACTGGGTTTAATTACAACCGACGTAGAAATGCAACAAACATCTGAAAGCGAGAGGAACGAGAATTAACCCTGAAATGACCAACCGGGTTCTCAGAGATTTGATTTTATCACCTCAAAGCTGCTTCGTTATTCAAGATCACGATGCCAGGATTAGAATCAGAATCAGTTTCGTTGCCAAGGAAGGGTTCAAAAAACAAGGAATTGAACTGGGAGTTCGGGGCAAAAAAAGAAAAAACAAAAAGGAACTTTTTTTTAACATAACAAATAAGGAGCAAGTAGCGCAAATCCAAGGAATTGGAAAAGTAATAAAAAAGTAATAGAAATATTTCCAATGTGCAGCAATGTGCAAATGAATCAATGGAAATGTGGGCTTACATAATAAGTAAATACAGCACCCTCCATAATTATTGGCTAAGATGTGTTCTTTAGCTTCTAGTAAATTCAGTTTTTTTCTAAATAATATAGGACCACAATGAAAAAAAAGAGGAAAATCCAATCTTTAATTCAAGTGCATTTATTCAGGGTGAAAAAAAATCCCACATTAAAAAATAATTCTTTCAAATCATGTAATTAATCAAATCATGTGTGCCACAATCATTAGCACCCTTAACTTAATACTTTGTGCAACCCCCTTTTGCCAACAATTCATTTGAGTTGAGTTGAAGGTTGCATTTTTCTACAATTTCCAGTGTGAGAGTATGCTTCTGCAATAAAAATTGAATTTATTTTAAGGCTTTTAACACATCTTAACCAGGGGTGCCAATAATTACGGAGGGTGCTGTACGCTGACAGGGTAAAACTGATGGTAAATTAACTTGTTACCTCAGAATGACAGTATGTTTGCCATCATCATTATTTTTGCACCAAACAGGAGGATGACGGGAAGAAAAATCAAAGGAATTTGAAATTTTCAGTTATTGCCACATTTTTTTTATTTTCCGAAGAAAACCTGTGAAAACCAGTTACTAATCTGTACTCACAGATTGTTAAACCGAGCCAGCGGATGCGGCTTTCTCACTTCAGCCCATTGGCACGTATGCAAACTGAGGAATTATCAGAATCCAAATAAAGCAGCTAACAAACTGCACATGTTGATAGTGTGGAGTTAGTATCATTTTACACTTCAGTATGATTTCTTATGACAGGCCTTTCGATTAAGGCAAAGCAGTTTTACCCAAAAGGTTTAGTAATCTGTCCCCTTAGTTTATTAATCATTGGATTCTCGCATAGATATTCTTTCAATGCTGTGACTATTGGTGGCTCCACCCTAGAGTCAATGATGCCTGATATGGCTACCAGTAAAAACACTCTCAGCTGAAAATGCAACCAAATGTGATCCATCAGCTAAAAATACCAGCTTCAGGCCTCTTTTACTTGAAGTCGATTGCTCCTATTTGTCTCTGATTGCAGCCTCGTGCTGAAAGCTTCTGTTTTCTGTTCAGGTCCGCTGGGGAGATAAAGGTTCCACAGAAGAAGGAGCCAAACTGGAAAAGGCTAAAAACGCTCGAGTGGTGATGCCTGCGCAGGAGTACGATCCTCCTCCACGGCTTCACTACCACATGCACAAATCGATGGGTCCCCAGAAGTGGTACACTCCCATCAAGGTGCTGCAGTTGTTCACTTTGCTATTGCATTAAATCAGCCTGCAGTTACTGGTTTTAAAGTGTTTTTATCATTATCATACCTCTGACATTACATTTCTACTAAATGTTAACTCACATGTTCTGACAAGAGCTCAGGGTCCCACTTTTTCCAGAGCCTTGAAACATACCTCATGGTCCTCCTCAGTTGTCTCACAGATGCATCACTGCCATAAAATATATTCTAAGGCATGGATCACATATGTGTTATCCGGCTGATGCGTTTTCCAGATGCTCTCTAAAAGCCCCTCTGACATGTCGTCCTCTTCCTTACAATGGTGTCGCTGCACCGAGTCATTTTTTTTTTAGTGTTTCTGGGAATGATGTGTTACCAGGAAATAGTTAATAAGATTTGTTTCCTCACATATTAGTCAGCTGGATGGATAGTAATAAGAACCAGACATGGACTGAGCTAACCCCTGAATATGGAATCTGTTGAGTGGATGTTATTCCTAACAAAATACTTTCTTTGTTTATCTGCCTCTCTTTTTTTTTTTTATACAAAGCTACCTATGCAAAGACATCTGGGGCAAAAGTGGTGCAGTGGAGAGTGGTAGACTTTCTACTGTACTTGCTTTTCTTTTAAAGGATTGCTCTGCTGCACAGATATGCATTTACAATATATATTGTTCTGTGCTGTCATCTGTCTTTAGGGTAAACTGGACGCTCTGTGGGTGTTTCTACGAAAAGGCTACGACAGAGTGTCTGTGATGCGACCGTATCCTGGAGACAAGGTGAGAAATGGGCTAACATGGTGATTTACAGAGTAATAAGAAACAGCACCTGCAAGAACAGCACACGCGCCTTCAAAACAAAGCAATTATTAAGATTGTGAAGCAACCGTTGCAACTTTTTTGGCAGAGAGATGCCTGAGTTTTTAAAGTCTGACTTCATTAGCTCTGGAAATGAGGAAGGAGGAGAGTTCGGAGGCGTCCGGCTTAAAATCAAACAACAAAGCAGAAGGAAGCCAAGCTGAAATCTTATCTGCGTGACACTGGTCCATGAGCGAAACATTTTTTAAGTCAGAGCTGATTCTAATCATAGGAACAGTGACTTCAGGGAAACTCTCAAATGTCACAGTCGGTAGACAAAGGTATTGTCTGGAAGGGCGCTCGTGTCTGCAGAAGTCATTAGGAGTCGGCGCTGCCTGCCTGCCTCCTTCAGCTCTCAGCGTCGGCTCGGCTCGGCTGGCAGGAATGCTGTTTTCTTCCATGACACTCACTAAAAGTGGAATTTCCTCTTTCCATCGGCTGAGAGCTGTACCCCTCCAGAGCTGCCAGTCGCTGTGCCACAGCAGATTTTCTCGAGGGCAGTTTGTAGAGTTTCTTTGCATCTTGCACATTTAAATCACCCATCAGACTCCTCCACTGACCTGTGGTTTACTCTCTGATTACAGGGCAGGTGCATCAACTTCACCCGGAGCAAATCCTACCCGGCTCCTCGCTACCCCATCTACAACCACCCCTCCACGCCCGTCTACACGCTGCCCCACAGTTACCAGCGTCGTCCGTCAGAGGGCGACCAGGTCTTCCATTTGCCCCCCTCGCCAACTTCCACCCTCCCTCCTCTGCCGTCCACTCCTCCACCGTCCTCCAGCAGCTCGCCCATGTACACGCCGCCTCCCAACAGGGCCCTGCCTCCGGCCAACGTTAGCCCCGTCTCCGCGCCTCCGTCTCCAACTGGCTCCCTGCCGCCTCCGCCTCAGGGCCCGCCTCCGTGCCGAGCCCCTCCTCCATCACGGCCTCCTCCACGCCCCAATCACGAAAACCACTGATGATTAAGTCGATGAAGAGCAGGAGCCAAGCTCAGAATGGAAACCTGAAAAGACCCTTTTCGCCGTGTCTGTGCTTAATTACATCCGAGCAGAACGACAGCGATGCTCTGATTTTGCCTTTTGAGGCTGCGTCTGGTGATTCTCCACCTGCTCATGGCTGGAGCGTGATGTGCCATGAAACTCGACTTTTTAGAAAGTCTAGAAAAGTGAATATTTAGCACAAACAAACACAGCTTTGGCTATTGGAGTTAAGCATTTATTCAGTTTTTAAGAACCTTTCTTCCAACCAAATCGCACAATTCGGTCACACTTTGCAACGGAGCAGCTTAAACTTTAACGTCTGCTTTTGTCTGATGTTAATTCTAAGCGATGAAAACTTAAAATCACAGCAGAAATCGAGCGGTTCAGCGACTGCTTCATGTGTTTTATACATGCAAGTGTGTTCAGCAGCTGCTCGTCCTGCAAAATGTATATAATTTGTAAATGTTTTTTTTTTAAAAATCAAAAATACATGTATGCACGCACATTGTATTTGATGGACGATGACAGTTTTGATGTTATGAATATATTTTTTTGCTACTGTTGGTACATTTTTTTAAAAATTTGAACAGAGCCAGGCTCAGTGTTTGCCCCTTGCTTCATGTCTTTATGCTAAGCTAAGCTAAGCTTCACATTCACTCGACTGAAATGAGAACGGCATCGACCTTCTCATGCAACTTTTGGCAAAAATGCAAATTAGCATATTTACCACCAGTAAGATTTATACATTCCTCACATACACGTCTTCAATAAGTTGCTGGAGAGTCCATTTAGATTAAACTCATGATCTTGAGCGTCGTATCTCAAAGTCATTAACATGGAAAATCCTGAAGTTTAGAGACCAGAGATGTTAATTGTAAAGCTGTCAGCAAGCGAGCCTTAAAACGCAGGAGTTACATCTTTGGCCGAGCGCGACGCTGACTGTCAGAGGCTGTTTAAACTCGGTCACGATGACAAACGTAACCTCTGGAAGCTGCGACTGATTCGGCAGCCCATTTGTGATCAGGCTTGCTCATACCGATATGATGTGCAATAAATCAGTAAAAGATGTTGGTCCTGCTTTTCCTTGAGTCATGATTCATCCGTATCAGGAGGTTATATCAGAGGAGAGAAGACGTTGTTTTGACATTAAATTAAGGCCTCGAATCAGGGTTTGTAATGAAATCTGTCCAACTTTAGGGCAGGACAACCTGAACAGCTTTTGTTGTCCTGACGTCTGACTGTTGCCATGAAAAAGGGCCCGAACGCCGCAAACATTTATCACTCAGAGCTAACGCACACATAAAATGCTGGAGAGATAACATAATGCACTATATGGTGTAGGAAAAAGGGAGGAATTCTGGACACAGTCTCAGACTTTTACTACTTAATTTAAATGAAAGCAGTAAAATGTCCTTGGAAACATTTGCAGGAATTATCCGTTGTCACTATGGAGGAGAAGTTTAGATAGTTTGCATCCACTTTCTTTTTCTTTTGATGCAGAGAACATGGATTCAAACTACGTGGAGATGAGCTGCAGGTGAGCAGAAAGCTGCTAAAGATGCTTTTCTGG